AAAAAAACAAACTAAACAAAAACTACCTACACCAGGTTCAAGCTAAACCCTTGGAAAAGAACCGTTGCCCAAAGAAAAACTAAGGGGGAGTTACTACACTACCTAAAAATAAAAAAAAATCTTTTTGGTCTTTTCTCTAGACTTATTTCCCTCAAGAAAATTGTCTAAAGGATCCGTCATCAGGAAGAGTCTCCGTATTCCCTTTTTTTGTTTTTTTATCGACTTAGTCCCTCAAGAACCCCGCCGAAAGAGATCCATCATCGGGACAAGCCACTTACCTACTTTAAACTTACCTAATGAAACTATCAAAACACCAAAAACAATCAAAGCAAAACAAAGAAACATCAAACAGTCAAATTGTTACAAATACATACATACATTGAAGTATCCCCCACCCCATACTTAAAATGTAGACATGTCCTCATGGCATAAAAATTTAAAGAACAGTGAGGTAAAGGAACTTCCCTGAAATATCACTCCTGATCGGAGACGGTGTCTGGGTTCACATTGCAAGCACGACCCAGAGCTCTCAGCCAACCTAAGAATTTCTTCTCCGACTTTACCTGCCGGTCAGCCACTGCGTCTACGCGGACACCCAAATTAGTGACTAAGGTATGCAACCCAACCATCTCCTGCTCCAAAGTGGTGAGACGGGACACCCAGGCAGCTCCAGAAGATGTTGCAGCCCCAGATGGTGCTACAACCACAACACTTTGCTCATGGGCCTGTGGTTCGTCCCCCACGTCCTCCTGCTCGGCCTCCTCTTCCTCTGAGTCATCAGAGCCACTACTATCCTCCCCACCTGCTGTCGTCGACTCCTTACCCGTGGTTACCTTGTCAGCTCGGAACTTGCGGTCTTTTGGCACCAGCCCATCCACCGCCAGATTTTTCGGTACCCGAGCTTACATGCATAGTTTAGTGACCAAAGAAGGGAAAAAGAATCCATACCTTTTGACTGGACAACGGATGAACATCTCCTCATGAATCACTTTGGCCACATCGAAGTTGTGACCATTTATGAAGCACCAAATCAAGGCCGCTAGGGGGCCATTCACTTCCGTAGTGTTGAGGGAAGGGATCAGACGATTGTAGATAATATACAACCAGCACTTCCCTTCAAAGGTTAGTGCCGAGGAGTGAAATTTCTCACCATACTTCATCCAGATCACCTCCTTCCCGGGTACACAGATCGTTTCAAAGAACATCGCCCACTGCGTGTATTTTCTGCCATACTTCTCATAAAAGTCTTCATATGGGTCCACAAGAGGGGGCAGCTAGTACATCACTGTATAGCCTCAACAGAGGCATCCACCGATTTTCTGCGCATAGTGACTATACCATTGACATGCTTCTTCACATTGGCGTAAAATTCTGTAACAACCATTACATTGCCCTGGCCCGGCTCGTCAATGAAAGTTTGCAACCCCCGCCTCACCAGCTTAGTGTGCATGTGAGAGCAGTGTAGTTGAACCGATCCTATGTCAATTTCCCTCTCCAGATTCGGCTTTTTAGAGGCCTTATCCGCAAAGCGGTCTTGAGCCTTGGCAGAGACAAATCTGTTGCTATCAAAGGGACGGGCAGGGGCTGCCCCGGGCGTCCTGGCTGAGTTAGCTTGGCTGCTAGAAGAGGCACCTATGGCACGACGTTTCTGAGATGGAGCCATAGTACCTGAAAAACGGGAGCACATTAGCACATCCCAACACAAAATTCTGACGCAATGTGGTTACGTAGACTTAACACGCATAAGTCGTCACAACTATACAATTACGTTCACTGAGGCCTTTCCACAAACACCTTGTGGGCATTAGGCGCTCACAACCCATTCCAAGCATTTGACCACCCCAAAACCACCACAATGTACCCACAAGCACAACTAATTCACGCTCTAACTCCACCAACCATTCCATCCACAGTTACTACACATCTACTATAGATTTCGACTAAACAAAGGCAAGAGCAGCAAAAATAAAAATAAAGAAAAAAAAATAAAAAAATAAAAACGAAAATCAGAGAAAAACAAAAAAACAAAAGAACAAAATGGTACCTAAAAGGCATACCTGTAGTGGGAGATTGTTAGGAGAAGCGAAGAAAAGGAGAGGGAGTGTGCTTGAAACTTGGGGAAAGTAGGGGTGGGAATTTTGAAGAAGATGGGAGTTGAAGGAGGAGGGGGATGTTGAAGAAGAAGGGTTGGGGAGGTTTTTTGTTTCTGATTTGTGTTAATTTGGGGCGTTGGGTTTGGAAGTAAGGGAGGGGGGTAATTTAGACTACATAAAAAATTAACATGAAAAAAAAAACACAAACACACAGATGTGTGCGGGACTAGCGCGGTACGAGCATGGCCGCGCTAGCCCAGGCAGAACACTCATCGGTTTGTGCGGCCACTAGCGTGATGGCACTAGTAGCGCGGCCAATAACGCGTTCAACAGAGCGGGCACACTAATATTTTTGAGCCCAGGCAGAATACTTGCCCATATGGGCCGCCCATAGCGTGGGCGCGCTCTTGGGCGAAATTGTTTTTCATGTTTTTCACCTGTTCTTACCACTTCCGATGGCCTAATCACCCGCCCATTATCACCTGCATTGGTTAGCACTTCCTAAAAACTCATAATTAACAACTACTACTATCTTTGGGTTGCCTCCTAACCAATGCCTTTGTTAATGTTGTGGTACGACGATTACAACAAATCAATAGGTTGCCTCCCATGCAGCACCTGATTTAACATCTCAGCACGATGCAGACAAGCGCATTTAAGGCTCGCTCGACCTCTGAGATTCCGTCAGGTGGATCTCTGACACTTTCTTTGGTTATTTCATGCTTATGTATAACTTCAATCTATGCCCATTGACTCTAAATGTGTGAGAGTCTTTCTCTGAGGCAATCTCTACAGCTCCTGAAGGGAATACTTCAACCCCTCGAAATGGACTAGACTATCGTGACTTAAGCTTACCCGAGAATAACCTTAATCTTGAATTATAGAGCAGTACCATGTCCCTGGTTTTGAAATGTCACTCAACAATGTTCTGGTCGTGCAACCTCTTCATTCTTTCCTTATACAACCTTGTGCTCTCAAAAGCAAGATGTCGGAACTCATCAAGCTCATGCAATTTAGTGATTCTAGTTGTGCCCGCAGCCTCAATGTCTAGGTTCAGCTGCTTCAGTGCCCACCAAGCTTTATGTTTAAGTTCCACTGGCAAGTGGCATGCCTTCCCGAACACCAACTTATATAGTGACATACCAATTGGTGTTTTAAAAACAGTTCTATAAGCCTAGAGTGCATCATCTAGCTTTTTCGCCCAATCAGTTCTTGTGGCGTTCACTGTCTTGGTCAATACACTCTTTATCTCTCTATTAGTCACTTTCACCTATCCACTTATCTGTGGATGGTACGGTGTTGCCACCTTGTGACGCACATCATACTTCGCTAGCAACTTCTCAAAGGCTCGATTATAGAAGTGGGTGCCTCCATCACTGATAATCGCTCTCGGGGTCCCAAAATGGGTGAAAATGTTCTTCTTCAAAAATCCCACCACCACTCTTGCATCATTAGTGGGCAACACTGCAACTTGTACCCATTTGGACACGTAATCCACAACAACAACTATGTACTTATTGCCAAAGGAGCTGATGAAGGGTCCCATGAAGTCAATCCCCCAGACATCAAACACTTTAACCTCTTGAATCGGGTTCATGGGGATCTCATGGCGACGGGAAATGTTCCCTGTTTGCTAACATTCATTACCACCCTTCACCCACTGGTGCGCATCTTTAAACACTGTAGGCCAAAAGAAACCGGCCTTTAGCACTTTTGCAGCTGTCCTGACTCCTCCAAAATGCCCTCCATACACCGATGCATGACATGCCTGCAAAACAGAAGATTGTTCTATCTCGGGGACACACCTTCGGATCATATCGTCAACACATATTCGAAACAGGTAAGGTTCATCCCAATAATACATGCGGCAGTCACGATAAATATTTTTCTTTTGTACAGAGGAAAGGTCATAGAGAACTATACCGCTGGCCAGGTAATTTGCAAAGTCTGCATACCATGGCACTTCCTCAAGATTAGTAGCGAGCAGCTGCTCGTCTGGAAAGGTTTCCAGAATGACCTCAACCTCAACTGAGTTTGCAGCTCCCTCAAGTCGTGATAGATGGTCAGCGACTTGGTTTTCTGTGCCCTTACGGTCACAAATTTCGAGGTCGAATTCTTGCCGTAACAACACCCAATGAATCAGGCATGGCTTAGACTCCTTCTTCCCAATCAAGTACTTGAGAGCTACATGATCAGTGTATACAATTACCTTAGAGCCAATCAGGTACAATTTGAATTTTTTGAAAGCAAACCTCACTACCAACATCTCTTTCTCAGTCACAGTGTAGTTTAACTAGGCTCCACTCAGCGTTCTAGTGGCATAGTAGATTTGTAGCAACCCCTTTGGGAGGGTACTGCTTAGGAAAACAAATCTAATTTCCTACTTACAAAATATTAAAAGAGATATTAATAAAAATATTTAGAATAATTTTAGTAGCGGAAGTAGGCCCATGCGAAAAGGTTCAAAGTGCAATATATTTTTTTTTGAAAATACACCATAATTTTATTTTAAATGAAATACAATGTCAAAATATTAACATATGGTGATATAACCCTTATGGATTAATCAACAGATTAAAGCAACTTCCTAACAGATTTATACAATCATTCAAAATCACTACAAGTTTATATTGTACATAAATTTCAAACTATCGGGTATATATAAAACAAAGGAAACTAGTTTTCTCCTTTTCTACATATTTACAAGACAAAGTGTAAATTCAGCATATTACAAGACTTGAGTTATCAAAAACACTCTAATACAATAAAATACGTTACAAATTCAAGCTATAAGATTTTGGTCTTTAAAATCCAACAAGCCTTCAAATAACATAAGTGTGACATATATATATATCTTGTATATCATGTATATCATGTATATCATGTACATGTCCCAAAACTATGCACAAGGTGCATATGCAAATGTGATCTCCATAAATTCTCCCAAAGAGACTACTTCACCCTGGCCATCTTCAGATTTCATCCCGAACATTTCCTACGATAGAAAACAACTATCGCTAAGCATAAAGCTTAGTGGTGTATAAACTTTAGGCTTGGAGTTATTAACTTCTCCAATTTCCGCTTTTCAGTCATAGTTAGCTCAATTTAACATAATTTAAAACAAGTGAACAAATATATCAAACATATCAATATCAAACTTTGAAGTATTTCCAAATATCAATAACAATGTTCAAGAGTCTAGAAAGTGTATACTATCAATCTAAGAGAGTATACCAAATATCCTTTTTTTTCCGCCCAATATGTACGTCATGCCATCACACTAAGCATAATCAGATATCAAGATGGACCGAAGCCCCAAATCAAGTAGGGTCAAAACCCAATAGACAAGAGAATCAAGAACCATATTAAAAATGGCTTCCTAGTTCGTACTTAACACGGACAAGTT